GCTTCTACTGACAGACAAGTGGTAGCTGTGCTTGAGGTCCATCGGCCAGGAATCAAACCTGGGTCTCCCACATGGATGGTGAGAATTCCACCACTGAACCACCGTTGCCCTCCCACTATTTAAGGTTAAAAAAACCTTGCTGTCATCAAGAAGATTCATGAGTTACAGATTAATTACCCTGTAGGGTTTTTTGGCTGTAATTTTAACTGAAGCACATTATCAGGCCTTTCTTCCATGGTAGAGATGGGGAGTTCAAACACCAACCTTTAGGATACTAGTCAAGCATTTGAACCCACCAGTTTCTCTGTGGGAAAAAGATGTGGCAATCTACTCTGTAACATGGAATCCCTATGGGGCAGTTCTGCTATGTCCTAAAGGGTCACTGTGAGTAGGAATTGACTTGATGGCAATAGTTGGTCATTTATAGATGATGATGCATAATCAGTAATATTGTTGTTGCTATCAAGTGGACTCCAACTCATGGCAGCCCCATGTACAACATTGAAATATGCTGTCCAGCCCTGTGCCACCCTTATGATCATTACTATGGTCAAGTCCGCTGTTGCAGCCAACTCGGTATTTAAAGTGCCTTCCAACCTAGGGGGTCGTCTTCTGGCACTATACTGGACTATTCTGTTGGGATGCATAAGGTTTTCATTGCTTATTTTCAGATAGATCACCAATGTTTTCTTCTGGTCTGTCTCAGTTTCAAAGCTCTGCTGACACCTGTCTACAATGTGTGGTCTTGCTGTTATTTAAAATACTAGTGGCATAGCTTACAGAGCATACCAACACACAGGCCACCACCACAGTATGATAAGCTAACAGGTGGACAAAAAAAAAATAGTATATGTTTATGTTTAATACCAATTTAAGTAGACCTTCTGGTACTTCAGTGGTTAAGTGCTTAGCTGTTTCATCTCATTTTGAGCCATGCCCCATCAGCAAATGGAGGTCTCAAAAAGCTTTACCACATTCACATCACTTAGGAGTGATTCTGCTTTGTGAAGGCAGCTCTTCCCAGGGATATGTCCCCTGCCTTCCAACGTGAGGGTCTCACTTCCAGCACTATTAACAGGCGGTGTTACCCTGCTCTTCAGAAGGTGTTCCTGGCCAGTTTTTTTTTTTTTAATTTATTGTGATTTGGGTGAAGATTTACAGAGCAAATTCACTTTCCATACAGCAGTTCACATATACTTTGTCTCATGTCATTGACCACAGTTTACCAC